AATACCTTCCAGGCAGTGCATTCTATACCCCCACCTACCTTTGGATGAAAGAATATTTCCTCAAATCCTCTTTGAACATCCTGCCTCTCACCTTACAATAACAGCCCTTTGTTATTGACCATAAAGGAAACAGCTGCTTTCTATTCACCCTGTCCATGCCCCTCATAACATTACGTACCTCTGTCAGGTCGCCCCTTAACCTGCTTTGCTTCGAAGAAACCAATCTGAATTAATCCAGCCTCTCTAGAATAAGAGGAAAGTTGCCCATTAGTGGTTCTTCAAGGTGCACTGCAGTGACAATTCCAATTTCAGCTCAGGACCTGAACAACCCCAAATATCATCAGGAGTGGAATTCTGGTGCAATGGAAACCACTATTAAAACAAAACTAAATTAATTAACCAACTGATTGCTGTTCGTGGATTCTTACTTGATTCAAACTGGCATCATTAAACAGTAACGATCTTTATTTATATAAAAAGTTTAACGCAAATAGATGCTGCAAAGTGCTTCAGGTGCATTTCATAAAATTTGATATTGAGCCACAGAGGGGACTATTAGGGCAAATGGCCAAAAAGCTTTATTTTTAAAGACAGTATCCTTTTATTTTTCTGTATTTTTGATTCTGGACTGAAATGGGAAAAGATTTGTAGGGCATAGCTTTCGAGGAGAAGATTTAAAAGGGCCCTGAGGGGCAATTTTTTCCACACGGTGGGGGGGGGTGCATATTAGAATGAGCTGCCAGAGGAAGTGATATTTGGTTCACACGGTGGGGGGTCCATATTGGAATGAACTGCCAATGGAAGTGACATTTGCACATGGATAGGAAAGGTTTACAGATATATGGGCCAAACACACACAATTAAGGGGTGACACAGCGGTTCAGTGATTAGCACTGTTGCCTCACAGCACGAGGAAGCCAGTTCAACTCTAGCCTTGAGCAACTGTCTGTGTGGACTGTCCCCGAGACTGCGCAGGTATCCCCCAGGTGCTCTGGTTTCCTCCCACAGTCCAAAGATGTGCAGGTTAGGTCAATTGGCCATGCTAAATTGCCCATAGTGATCAGGGATGTGTAGGTTAAGTGAATTAGCCATCGGAAATGCAGGGTTACAGGGATAGAGCAGCAGAGTGAGTCTGTGGGATGTTCCTCAGAGAATCAGTGTGAACTTGTTGGGATTAATATGGGTAGGATACTCTTTGGAGAGTTGGCGTGGACTTGTTGGGCTGAATGACCTGTTTCCACACTGTGGGATTCTATAAATGGGACTTGTTCAGTTTAGGAAACCTGATCAATGTGGACAAGTTGGGCCAAAGGGCCTGCTTCAGTGCTTTGTCATTGTAGAAGGGATTGCTGCACTTTTTAAAAGCAAGCTATTAAACTTAGTGGAAGTACCATTTACATTGTCGTCCATTTAACCAGTGGCTAAAAGGTCAGATGTAGACAAACTGGCACCAGTGGGTACAAGGTGAGACTAGGCTGGCAACATGCTGCTGATTGGTCTGTGGTGAGCAGTTGTTGATGTCAAAGCCATCCGCCTACCAACAAGGGTGTGCTTGTTCACAGCTGTTCCTCTACCTGGAAGCCAATGTAGCCAGGAGTTACAGAGATCCAAAAGGGGAGATGTTGTATTTTTCTCTACAGTATAAAGTACCTAAAGCCTGAAGGAAGCCCGCTTATTTTCCCTAATAAGCTGTTGTAAGCTGTGGCTTTTAACTAAGGAGTCAGAGTTTTTAAATTTGTGAACCTGTCACTCGATGCCTCCTTCAAGGAAATAAAAAAAAACACTCCTGGAGAACAGAGAAATCCATGAAAAGCAAGACCTAACTATCCAAAAGTATCATCTCAGCAAATGCTGTGGATTGGGATAATTGAACTGCCTTCTCATTCTTTTTTCCTCCACCCACAACACTAATTTTTTTTTGTGCATGTCTGTGGAATTTTATAAGGGGGTTAGAGGTTCAACCAGTAGAGTTATACATCGAGATTTCACCTCTGTTTACCTGTAGCTAGAATCTATGTATTTATATTAAATAGGAATTCTTTTTAAGTACAGAAACCTGGTCCACACTTCTGTTAAAATGAGTCATAAAAGACAGGTAAATTGGGGATATTTGCATACTTGGTCAAAATCTTTAACTTTTGTGACAACTTCAGGAATGGCAGAGATTAATTTGCAGCTCAGTGCTCCAGGGAGGTGTGAGAGATTGGAGAGGCAGATTTTAACAAGCATCTTTAATCAGGAAACAAACAAAGAGGTTGTGGGAGGGAATTTCACAATGTCACACCTGGGCAAAACAACCAAGGAGGAGTAATTAAAATCACGGACACTGAATTTATCAGAATGAGAAGAGTACAGATATCCCAACAGGTACCACGACTGCAGATTATGGAGATAAAGAGGGATGAGGCTACAGAGAGATTTAAAAATTAGAATACCTTTAAATAGAGGCATTGTTTTTCCATGAGCCAATATCTGTCAATGAGCATAGGAGGTGATGGGTGAACTGGACTTGTCTTGAGAAAGCACATAGGAAGCAGTTGCTTCTATGATCACAAGATTCTGGGTGAAGGAGTGGGACAATGTGAAAGGGTGACCACATTTTCATTGGAATCAGCAAAACTAAAAGTACAATGGGCATGGAAGAGTTTTAGTATCTTGGTGAAGTGGATGCAGATAGCATTATAGAGTTTGTAATATGTAATGTTAATAATGGCATGGACATGTGGCTAGAAGAGCACTGCGTAGGTGGGAAAAGCAAAGGCAGCTATTTAATTGTCTCTATATTAGAAAGAAGTCCCTGAGCTCCTCACACTTGTTGTTGGAGGTGAGGATGGAGGATACAGGGAAAGCCCTTCAAATGAAACTAATTTGTGTGCATGATATTAAAAAAAAAACGAGGTGACACAGTGTGCATTTAACAAAGTTGATTTATTTTAATACATTTTAATTCAGTCATAGCATGTGGTGAGACTAGCATGAATGGCCCATCCCTAATTGCCCTGGAGTAGATGTTGGTGAGCTGGTCTTCTTGAAACATTGCCATCCTTGAGGTGTAGGGTCATCCAATTTGCTATTAGGCGGGGAGTTCCAGGATTTCGACCCAGCAACAGCGTCGGAATGGAGATATGGTTCCAAATCAGAATGGTGAAAGACTTGGAGGGGAGATTACAGCTGGTGGTGTCCCCTTGAACCTGGTGCCCTTGTCCTTCTAGGTATGCAGGCTTCACATTTGGAAGGTCTTGTCAAAGTGGTGAATTACTGCAGTTCATCCTGTAGATGATGCACACTGCTGCCATAGTACACTGAGAATGAAGGGACTGTAGTTTGAAGATGGTGGATAAAGTGCTATTAAAGTAGCTGCTTTGTTCTGGATGGTATCAAACTTCTTGATGAGCACAGCTCCAATGACACTCAAGACAAGTGAGGGCTATTCCATCACACTCCTTACTTGTGCCTTGTAGAAAGTGGACAGGCTTTGTGGAAATGGGAGGCAAGCTATCCACTGCAGAATTCCTAGCCTCTGACCTACTCTTGCAGCAATATATAGTTCATCTAGTTCATTTTGGTCAATAATAACGCCCAGGCTGTTGATAATGGGGGAATTCAGCATTGGTAATGCAATTGAATGTCAAGGGGTGATAGTTAGATGCTCTTAAGTTGGATGTGGTCATTGCTTGGCATTTGTGTGGCACAAATATCATTTGCCATTTATCAGCCCAAACGTGGATATTGTCCAGATCTTGCCGCTTATAGGCAGAGTCCTTCAGTATCTGAGGAGTTGAGAATAGCAGTGAACGTTGTGCAATCATTGTCTAACATCCCCACTTATGACATTATGATGGAGGCAAGGTCACTGATGAAGCAGCTGAAGATGGTTGGGCCTAGGACAGTACGCTGAGGAACTCTTATAAAGATGTCCTGGAGTTGAGGTGACTGACCTCCAACAACCACAACTATCTTCCTTTGTGTTAAGTCTGACTGTAACCAGTGGAGAGTTTTCCCCAATGCCCATTGACTCTGATTTGGTAGGCCTCTATTCCTTGATATCACTGGGAGCAAGTTGCATTGGCTGAAGCCCAATGTTGGGGAGCTTAGAGGAGGCAGAGATGGATCAACCACAAGGCACTTCTGGCTGAAGATTGTTACAGATGCCTTGTCTGTTGCATTGATGTGCTGGGCTCCTCCACATTTCAGGATGGCAATATTTGTGGAGCCTCCACCTCCTATTAGTTCTTTAATTATCCACCACCATTCATGACTGGAAATGACAAGTTTAGAAAGCTTAGGTATGATCAGTTAGTTGTGGAATCACTCAGTCTCGTCTACTGAATACTTCTTTCGCTGTTTGGTATCCTAGTAGTTATATACTGTAGCTTCACCAGATTGGCACTCCCTTTTAAGGTATGCCTGGGGCAGTTCCTGGCATGCCCTCTTGCATTCTTTACTGAACCTTGCAGGGCTACTTTTGCCCTTGTCTGTTCTGGTGTCTAGGTCAAGACTGGGTGGTCAGTCCAGTTCGATTCCTTCTTATATCCTTCACAGTGGTTTGATAGAGCTAAATGGCTTGTTGGGCCATTTCAGCGAGCAGTTAAGAGACAGTCAGAGTCAATCACATTGCTGTGGGTGTGGAGTCATGTGTATTAGACTAGATAAGGATGGCAGATTTTCTTCCCTAATTAAATGGGTTTTTACAATGATTGATGGTTACATGTTAATCACTAAGCTAGCTTTGAATCCAAATATCTTGTGAATTCAAATTTCACCCATTTGCTATGATGGGCTTTGAATCCATGTCCTCAGAACATTAGTCTGGTGCTCTGGTTACTAGTCTAGTCACATTACCCCTACCCCTACCCCTAGCGCCCCCCCGCACCATCTGCAGAATATTACCCCTGGCCTGGAGTTTATTAACATAAGTAGAAACAGACCCCAATGAGCATAGAAGTGACTGACAGCAATATCCCATTACTGCCGTTAGTAGTGAAATTGGTGGTGTTTCATCAGTTGGGATGATTGACTGAATCTCTTTCCACACTTGAAGCATGCGAACGCTCACTCTCCAGTTTCTGCCTAGTGTGAATCCGCTGGTGTGTCGACAGGCTGGATGACAGAGTGAACCCCTTCCCACACTCGGAGCAAGTGAATGGCCTCTCCCCAGTGTGAACTCGCCGGTGTACCAGCAGATTGGAGGAATTAGTGAATCCGTTTCCACAGTCAGGGCAGATGAATGGCCTCTCCCCCGTGTGAACTCGCTGGTGTCTCCGGAGGTGGGATGACTGAGTGAATCCCTTTCCGCACACAGAGCAGGTGAACGGTGTCTCCCCGGTGTAACTGCGCCGGTGAGTTTCCAGCTCAGATGGGAATCTGAACCCCTTGCCACAGTCCCCGCATTTCCATGGTTTTTCCCTTTTGTGGCTCCATTTATGTTTCGATAACCCGGATGCTTGGCTGAAACCCCGTCCACACACACAACATGTGTACGGTTTCTCTTCACTGTGAACAGCAAATTTCTCCTCCATGTGGTTATGATAAATTGGACAATGCTGTCAGATCCTGAAGTTTCCCAACAGTGAATCCTCCCCTTCTACTTCCTATGAAATTGTTATAAAACAGGAAAAAGCGAGAGTGAGGGAATTCACAAAAACATAAAGATACATTTGGACATTCGCCCTAATGTCTCAATGTGGTTCAGTGGCAAATGTTTCTTTATAATAGCCCTGTTACACAAAAGGCACTATATGAATGCAAATTATTTTTGATTTGGACATATATTACTCTTTGTTCATCATTGCTGGTTGAATAGCCTGTTACTCCTCACCCAACCGAATTGTAAGAGCACGTTCACCACATAGACTGACCGGTTCAAAAAGATCAAACATCATCTTCTCCACATACAACTAGGGATTGACAATGTCTTGTTAGTGAAAGAGCAGGGAAGTGGGACTGTCTGAATTGCAGAGGGTCAGCACAAGCATAATAAGCTAAATAGCATCTTTCTGTAGTGTAATCAGTTAACTATTCTCTGACAGTTTTTAAACATTCATTTACAGGATGAGAGAGTGTCACTGGCTTGGCCAGCACTTATTGCCTGTCCCTAATTGCCCAAAGAGCAGTTAAGAATCAACCACATTGCTGTGGGTCTGGAATCACATGGTAAGCAGATTAAGGATGGCAGTTTCAGTCCCTAAAGGACATTTGTGAACCAGATGGATTTTTCTAATAATTGACAATGTTGATTAGACTGTTAATTCTATTTTTATTGAATTCAAATTCCATCATCTGCCTTGGCAGGATTCAAACCCGGATCCCCAGATCATTTTTTTTTTTTTTTTAATTTATTTATTGGAAATGGGTGTCGCTGGCTAGACCTGCATTTATTGCCCAGAAGGCAGTTAAGAGTCAACCACATTGCTGTGAGTCTGGTGTCACATGTAGGCCAGACCAGGTAAAGATGGCAGTTTCCTTCCCTAAAGGAAGGACATTAATGAACCAGATGGGTTTTTCCAACAGTCATCAATGGATTCATGATCAGCATTAGACTCTTGATTCCAGACATTTTTTATCGAATTCAAATTTCACCATCTGCCATGGTGGAATTTGAACCCAGATCCACAGATCATTACCTGGGTTTCTAGATTAGTCCAGTAACAATAGCACTGGGCCGTCACCTTCCCATAAATGACTTGGAGACCAGAAACTAACGACTGCAACCAATGCCCTCACTGCTACATAGCAGACATTAACTGGTCTATCTGTGTTTTCAGGCTCAGTTCTATGAGTACAACTGCAATAAAACAATAACAAAATATCATAGGTACTGAAAATCTGAAAGAGAAACAGCAAATGCTGGAAAAAACTCCACAGGTCAGGCAGCATTGGTAGAGACGTAAACAGAGTTAATATTTCAGGGTGTGCTGGATGAGTTGGGGGATAAAAATGGTGCAGAGTATAATAGTCATTTCAAGCTCATAAACAGAACAAAAATGGATTATAGAACAGGTTAAAAACAACTCCTGACTATAAAAGGCACTGTGGGAGGATAAAGCTGATAAGTCAGCAGCATGAGGTCAGAGGATGGGCAGCAGTGAAACCTGATTTAGGTAAAGGTAAAGTCACCATAGTCTTACCAGCCCATAGTGTCTGCTCTCTCATTAAAGAGAGATGATGGATCATAAGACCATAAGTCCATAAAACGTAGGAGCAGAAGTTAGGCCAGTTGGCCCATCAAGTCTCCTCCGCCATTCAATTGTGGCTGATAAGTTTCTCAAGCACATTTGTTCCCATAGGTTCTTGATTATTGAGGGGATCAAGGGTTATCTTTCTCTGTCTTAAATATACTCAATGACCTGGCCTCCACAGCCTTCTGTGGCAATGAATTCAATAGATTCACCACTCTCTGGCTGAAGAGGTTTCTCCTTATCTATGTTCTAAAAAGGTCCTCCCATTACTCTAAGGTTGTGCCCTTGGGTCCTAGTCTCTCCTACCCATGGAAACATCTCCCCAACGTCTACTTTGTCCAGGCCATTCAGTATTCTGTAAATTTCAATTGGATTCCCCTTCATTCTTCTAAACTCCATTGAGTATAGACCCAGAGTCCTCAAACGTCCCTCATATGTTAAGCCTTTCATTCCTGAGATCATTCCCGTGAACCTCCTCTGGACCCGCATCCTTCCTGAGATATGGGGCCCAAAATTGCTCACTATATTCTCAATGTGGTCTGATTAGAGCATTATGAAGTCTCAGCAGTACACCCCTGCTTTTATATTCTAGTCCTCTCGAAATAAATGCCAACATTGTATTTGCCTTCCTAACTATCGACTCAACCTGCAAGTTTACGTTAAGAGAATCCTGGACTAGAACTCCTAAGTCCTTTTGCCACTCCAGATTTCTGAATTTTCTCCCCTTTTAGAAAACAGTCCACGCCTATATTCTTCCTACCAAAGTGCATGGCCTCACACTTTCCCATGTTGTATTCCATCTGCTACTTTTTGCCCACTCTCCTAACCTGTCTAAATCCTTTTGTAGTCTCACCACCACCTCAATACTACCTGTCCCTCCACCTATCTTTGTATCATCTGCAAAATTAGCCAAAATGCCCTCAGTTCCTTCATCTAGATCATTAATGATCTAGACCTTGAACCTTGCGGAACTCCACTTGTCACCAGCTGCCATCCTGAAAAGGACCCTTTTATCCTCACCCTCTGCTTTCTGCCAGACAGCCAGTTTTCTATCCATGCTGGTACCTTGCCTCTAACACAATGAGCCCTTATCTTACTCAGCAGCCTCCTGTGCGGTACCTTGTCAAAGGCCTTCTGGAAGTCCAGGTAGATAACATTCATTAGTTTTCCTTGGTCTAACCTGCTTGTTACGTCCTCAAAGAATTCTAATAGATTTGCCAGGCATGACTTCCCCTTGATGAAGCCATGCTGACTTTGCCCTATTTTATCATGCACTTCCAAATATTCAGAAAATCTTATCTTTCACAATGGACTCCAAAACCTTACCACCGACAGAGGTCAGGCTAATCGACCTGTAATTTCCTGTCTTTTGCCTTACTCCCTTCCTAAACAGGGGAGTTACATTAGTGATTTTCCAGTCCTCTGGGACCCTCCCTGACTCTAGTGATTCCTCAAAGATCACTACTAACGTCTCCACTGTCTCTTCAGCTTTCTCCTTCAGACTGATGGCGATTTAACCTAAGGGACACCAAACATCAGGTGAGGGGAGAGTTTGAGAGACTTTCCTGCCTTTTCCCCATAACTCTCAATTCCCACCCTGATTAAAAATCTCTCTCTCAGCCTTGAATATACTTAACAATCCAACCTCTAAATAAAATTCTGCATTTCCACTCCAAGAGAAGAAATTCCTCCCCAGCTCTGTCATAAATGCATTCCTTATGCTGAGAATACGCCCTCTGGTCCTAGACTCTGGCACAAGAAGAAAGAACGTCTCAGCATCTCCCCAAGAACCTTGTACATTTCAACAAGTTCACTTCATTGTTTTGTGACTCTAACTCCAAGACCACGTGGGTTTTTGAGAAGGCCCAGAGGTCTGGAGATATTCTCCTCAAGGCAAATGTGATTGAAAGGAGTGTCAAGATCATATCTTTTTATCTTTCTGTATTTTTGACTGTAGACTGAAGTGAGAAAAGGATTGTTTTTAAATAGATAAGAATTGCAGAAGGGGTTGCTGTGCTTTTTAAAAACAAGCTACCAGCACTTATTTTAAGTGCTGTTTGCACTTTGGAGGATGTTTAATTGCAGACAAACAGGCACCAGAGCACACTTACAAGGTGAGATTTGCACAGCAACCAGTGGCTGATTGGTCTATGAGGTGGTGAACAATTATGCCTGCCAATAACTATGCAGCAGGTACAAAGGCAGCAAATCAACAGAGATCCTACTGGAGTACAGAAATACAGGGGAAACTTAAGAAAGGAATTAGGACAGCAAATAGAGTGCACAAAAAACATTGGTGGGTAAAATTAGGGAGAATCCTAATGTATTCTACAAGTCTATTAAGGGGAAGAGGATAACCAGGGAAAGCATATTGCCCATCAGGGATCATGGGGACAATCTTTGTGTGGAGCCAGAGGACATTAGTTGGGTGTTAACTAAATAGTTCATATCTATTTTCACTTGAAAGGAGGAGGATGTTGGTACAGAATTTCGGACTGGGAACTGTAAGGTTCTTGAGCAGTTTGACATAGGGAGTGAGGAGGTATTGGAGGTTTTGACAGGCTTAAAAGTGGACAAATGCCCAGGTGTGGATGAGTTGCATCCCAGGCTGCTGTGGGATATGAGGGAAGAAATTAGAGAGGCTCTGGTCTAAATTTTCAATTCCTGTCTGGTCACGGGGTGGTGCCAGAAGACTGGAGAATAGCTAATGTGCCTCCATTTTTCAGTAAGGGTGGAAAGTAAACCAGGTAATTACAGACCAGTAAGTGTCACATCAGCGGTAGGGAAACTATTGCAGAAAATTCTGAAGGACAGAACTAATTTCCAGTTGGAGAGGAAAGGTTTGATCAGGAAAGGCTTTGTCAGAGGGAGTTAATGTCTAACAAATTTGATAAAATTTTTCAAGCAGATGATATAGCGTGTAGATAAGGGTTTTGCAGTTGATGTATTTTATATGGATTTCAGCACAGCCTTCCCACATGGAAGACTGATAAAGACCATACAAGTCCATGGTATCCAGATCAACTTGGCAAGTTGGATCTAAAATTGACTTCGTGGTAGGAGACAGGGGATGGTGGTAGAAGACTGTCACCAGAAGCCGGTGTCCAGTGGCATTCCACAAGGATCACAGCTGGGTCCATTATTGGTTGTGATACATATAAATAATAGAAAACAAAATGAAGAAGGAATATATTGAGATTACCTTTGTTCGCATGAGTAACACTCCATAAATCAATCAGAAGAGAATCTGTGACTATACAAGAGTGGTGGTGAGGTTTTCCCTTCTGACCATCACTCAGAAGAACACTCAAATGACAAAAATCAGATTGTGAACAAAAGTAAATACTGACAAGACGACGAAGACTCAAGTTCACTAAGGAATCATGAGCTGAAGTTCTGCAGGCAGCAAAACTATCTGCCCAGCACATTGTTATAGCAGATTTGAATTTGATGTCAGATGATGAAATTACACAAGTTCATCTACATATGTGTATATCGATACTGTATATCGGTCATCATTAAGACCTTAGGACTCAAATAACTGGATAGACAAGCTGTCACCATTCTGTTCTGCTGGAAGCAAGTTAGATCCCTGCCCAAACCTCGCTCATGAAGATCTTTGCCCTCTACAAAGATGGCGGGGGCGCTTGCGCCATACCACACATTAAAACCCCGCGCCCCCCCCCCCCCCCCCCCCCCCAAACGCCCCCATAAAGATGGCGGTCACCCGGGGCCGGACACTGGGAGTTATCGCCCCGCTCACTGCAAACGGCGAGAGGTAACCCTCATTGTTGAAGGTTTGCGGCTTATACAAGATGTTTATGAATCGTTGCCATCCAACCGCAAGATCCATCGCACGCTCCGCTGCGCCCTAATCTTACCGTTGCAAATCAGAGAAAGAAGCCTCCGCCTCTCGGCGCACCGGGTCCGCGCATGCTCTCTAGATAGTCACACTGCGCCTGCGTTTATTCCCCCTGTTGTGAATAGGGGATATTCACCGCCGTGGTGAATGCTGGGTACTAACCTACCATTAAAAATTCACGTTTTCTTAATAAGCAAAGAAGTTCGGATGCAAAATCTCTGAAACAAAAACGGAAATTGCTGGAGAAACCCAGTAGATCTGGCAGCATCGGAGTTTCGAGTCCAGTGACCCTTCTTCAGATGGTGGGTTTCTCCAGCAATTTCAGTTTTGTTTCACTTTTTCTTCATCGTGATATGTGTTGCACGTATTGTATAAAGACCAGGGCCGAGAAAACCAAATAATAAAATTAGGGCATACGTCAGACTGAAATCCATTAGCGAAAAGATAAGTGACTGGTACATTCTTCCGGGAATGATTCTACCACATAGATGGGGAGTAGGAGTGGGTCATATTTAACACCATTCTATCTTTCTATAATAATAATGCACAAGCTTTCCCTCTAATAATGTGGAGCATGGTACGCTAACTGCCCACTGAATAAATATAGCCTATGCACAGCAGAGGGTTTCTTAAAACAGTATGTGGTTATTCCAATTGGAGGATGGCCATACTGGACCTTGTATTGGCTAATGAGCCTGGCCAGGTGACTGACCTTTCAGTGGGAGAGCATTTTGGGAACAGTGGTCACAACTCCATACATTTTAAGATAGCTATGAATGAGGATAAGTCAGGACCTTGCAGACAGATACCAAATTGGGGAAGGGAAAATTATGTCAGTATTAGGCAGGAGCTAGAGAATGTTAATTGGGAGGAGCTGTTATCGAGCAAGTCCACATTTGACATGTGGGAGTTGTTTAAAGACCTGCTGATCAGAGTTCAGAACCGGCATATTCCAGTAAGTAGGAAGGACAAGAATGGCAAGGTAAGGGACTCTTGGGTAATAAAGGAGGTTGTGAATTTAGCCAAGAGGAAAACTGAAACACAGATAATGTTTAGGAATCTAAAATCAGGCAGGGCACGTGAGGAATATACAGAAAGAAGAAAGTACTCAAGCAGGGAATTAGGACAGCAAGAAGGGGCCATGAAATGACCTTGGCAAGGAGGATTAAAGAGAATCCCAATGCATTCTATATATGCATTAAAAACAAGAGGATAACTACGGAGAAGGTTGGACCACACAAGAATAATGGATGGAATTTGTGCTTGGAGGCAGAGGATGTGGGTGAGATCCTAAATGAGTACTTTCATTGGTATTCACCCAGGAGAAGGATATGGAGGATAGTGAGATCAGTGTAGAACATTCTAATATGCTAGGGCATTTTGAGATCAAGAAAGAAGTGGTGTTGGGTCTCTTGAAGAGCATTGAAGTGGATACGTCCCCAGGGCCTGATGGTATCTATCCAGGTTATTGAGAGAGGCAAGAGAGGAGATTTTTAGAGCCTTGACCAAGATCCTTGTACCCTTGCTAGACACTGGAGGGGTCCCAGAGGACTGTTAAGTAGCTAATGTTGTTCCTTTATTTATGAAGGGAAATAGGGATAATCCAGGAAGCTATAGACCAGTGAGTCTCACATTAGTGGTTGGGAAGTTATTGGACAGAATCCTTAGGGATAGGATTTACACGCTCTTGGAAAAGTATGCCCTAATTAGGGACAGTCAGCATGGCTTTGTGCAGGGTAGGTCAAGTCTTACTAACTTGAATGAATTTTTTGAGGAGGTGATGAGGGTGATCGATAAGGGTAGAGCAGTGGATGTTGTCTACATGGATTTTAATAAGGTTTTCGACAAGGTCCCTCATGGTAGGCTCATCCAGAAGACTAAGATGTATGGGATCCATGGTGACTTGGCCACTTGGATTCAGAATTGGCTTGCCCATAGAAGGCAGAGGGTACTTGTGGAAGGGTGTTTTTCTGGTTGGTGGTCTGTGACTAGTGGTGTTCCTCAGGGATCCATACTGGGGCCTCTGCTGTTTCCCGCAACTCATCCCTCACACCCACTCCCCGCAATAACAATCAGAACAGAATCCCCCTCATCCTTACGTACCACCCCACCAACCTCCGGATCCAACGCATCATCCTCTGACACTTCTGCCATCTGCAATCCGACCCCACCACCAAAGACATTTTTCCCTCCCCACCCTTGTCTGCTTTCCAGAGGGACCACTCTCTCCGTGACTCCCTTGTCCGCTCCACACTCCCCACTAGCCCCACCACACCCGGCACTTTTCCCTGCAACCGCAGGAAGTGCTACACCCGCCCCTACACCTCCCCCCTCACCCCCATCCCAGGCCCCAAGAAGACTTTCCACATCAAGCAAATGTTCACCTGCACATCTGCTAATGTGGTATACTGTATCCGCTGTTCCCGTTGTGGCCTCCTCTACATCAGGGAAACCAAGCGGAGGCTTGGGGACCGCTTTGCGAAACACCTACGCTCGGTTCGCACTAAACAACTGCACCTCCCACTCGCAAACCATTTCAACTCCCCCTCCCATTCCTCAGATGACATGTCCATCCTGGGCCTCCTGCAGTGCCACAACGATGCCACCCAAAGGTTGCAGGAACAGCACCTCATATTTCGCTTGGGAACCCTGCAGCGCAATGGTATCAATGTGGACTTCACAAGCTTCAAAATCTCCCCTCCCCCTACTGCATCCCAAAACCAGCCCAGCTTGTCCCCGCCTCCCTAACCTGTCCTTCTTCCCACCAATCCCCTCCTCCCACCTCAAGCCCCACCCCCATCTCCTACCTACTAACCTCATCCCGCCCCCTGGACCTGTCCGTCCTCCCTGGACTGACCTATCCCCTCCCTAACACCCCACCTACACTCACCTTTACTGGCTCCATCCCCACCTCTTTGACCTGTCTGTCTCCTCTCCACCTATCTTTTCCTCTATCCATCTTCTATCCACCTCCCCCTCTCTCCCTATTTATTTCAGAACCCCCTTCCCCTCCCCCATTTCTGAAGAAGGGTCTAGGCCCGAAACGTCAGCTTTCCTGCTCCTCTGATGTTGCTTGTCCTGCTGTGTTCATCCAGCTCTACACCTTGTTATCTCAGATTCTCCAGCATCTGCAGTTCCTACTATCTCTGAAACATTGTGTATAGGAGCTGGGATGTCATGTTGTTGCTGTACAAGACATTGATGAGGCCACTTTTAGAATACTGCATATGATTCTGGTTTCCCTGCTGTGGGAAGGATATTCTTAAACTAGAACAGGTGCAGAAAAAAATTTACAAGAATGCTGCCGGAACTGGAGGGTTTGAGTTATAAGGAGAGGCTTGATGGGCTGGGACATTTTCCTTGCAGCATTGAAGGCTCAGGGATGACCTTGTAAAGATTTATAAAATCATGAGGGGCATAAATAAGGTCAATTGCCAAGGTCTTTTTCTATGGGTAGGGGAGTAGTGTTGTACAGCATGGAAACAGACTTTTCAGTCCAACTTATCCACGCTGATCAGATATCCCAAATTAATCTAGGCCCATTTCCCAGCTCTTGATCTATATTCCTCTAAACCCTTCCTATTCATGTACCAATCCAGATGCCTTTTCAATGTTGTAATTTGTACTAGCCTCCAGCACTACCTCTGACAGCTTGTTCCACAGAGGTACCACCCTCTGCATGAAAAGGTTGCCCCTTAGGTTCCTCTTATATCTTTCCCTTCTCACGTTAAACCTAGGTCATCTAAGTTTTGGACTCCTCTATCCTGGGAAAAAGACCTTGGCTGTTCACCTTATCCATGCCCCTCATAATTTTCTAAACCTGCATAAGATCACCGCTTGACCTCCAAACCTCAAGGGAAAATAGCCCCAACCTAGTTGGCCATTCCCTATAGCTCAAACCCTCCAACTCCGGCAACATCCTTGTCAATATTTTCTGCATCCTTTCAAGTTTAACAAAATCTTTCCTACTACAGGGAGGCCAGAATTGAACATGGTATTCTAAACGCAGAATCCGCAGTTCTTTTAGTTTTTTTATTAAATGTATAAGTCCTGCCCTGATTTGACCTGTCAAGATGCAACACCTCACATTTATCTAAGTTAAACTTCATCTGCCACTCTTCATCCCATCGGTGCATCTGATCAAGAGCCTGTTGTACTCTGAAATAGCCTTCTTCCCCCAACCTAGGTGTTATCTGCAAACTCACTAACCATTCCTCCTATATTCACATCCAAATCATTTACATAAATGGGAAAAAACCGTGGGTTCAGCACAGATTCCTGCAGCACACAGATCTCCAGTCTGAGAAACAAACATCCACCATCACCTGCTGTCTCCTACCTTCAAGACAATTTTGTATCCAAATGGCTAGCTCTCCCTAGATTCCATATGATCTAACCTTGCTAACCAGTCTACCATGCAAAACCTTGTTGAATGCCTTGCTGAAGTCCATATAGACAGTATACACTGTTCTGCCTTCATCAAACTTATTTATCACTTCTTCAAAAAACTTTTTGATGACAAGACGGCAGCAGAGTAGGATGCTCCAGCCAGAGCTCCTCTGCTTCGCCAGTTCCTTTTTCTTTGTTTTTCTTTTTATCTTCTTGTTTCTGCAGTTTTTTCCCTTTGCCCCAGGCCCTTCAACTTTTAACTTCTTAAACTTACACGGAGGAAATGGAGAATGGAGGAGGCAAGACTGAGTCCAGGCCGGCACGGGAGACAATTCGGAGACCATGCCAGATCAGGAAGCGAGTCCCAGAGAAGAGTCGCAGGCTGGAACCCAGTCCGGCCTGAGAGACGGGTCCTGGTGGTGGGTCCCGGGCTGGAGGCCAGTGCAAGGAAGTAGCGGTGCCTTGAGTTCTGAAGATTGGTTGGCAAGAACTCAGTGAAAAAGACTGTAATTTGAGAACTTTTAAAGATAATTTTATACTTATTCTGGACTTTGAGTAATTCGAATACTGTTTAAAACTTTATATTCCAATGCTAGACAGTTTTTACTCTTTCAATTCTGTAACAAAGTATCTGTACCTAGGCATCCTGTACCTGAGATGGTGCCAAAGCGGTGACATTACATACATTTCACTAAACTCAATCACAGCAGTGAGACATGATTTCCCACACACAAAGCCATGTTGACTATCCCTAATCAGTTGTTGCCTTTTCAAACACATTGGGAGGGTACAATTACAACATTTAAATTACTTTTGGACAGGTGCATGAATAGGAAGGGTTTAGAGGGATTTGGGCCAAATGCAGGCAGCTGGGACTTGTTCAGTTTAGGATACCTGGTCAGCATGGACAAGTTGGACCGAAGTGTCTGTTTCCGTGCTGTATGACTCTATGACTCTGCAACATCCTTACTACAATGTGGCAACCGGAATTGCATGCACTCCTCCAATGGTGGCCTCATCAAAGTTTTGTACAGATCCAACATTACCTCAATACTCTTACAATTTTTGCCACTACTCAGAAAACCAAACATCTTGTATGCCTTCTTAACTACTTTTTTAACCTGCCATTTTCAGGGGTCTGTGAACAAGGACCCCAAAACCCTTCTGTTTCTCTGAGCTTCCCAGTGTTCTGCTATTCATTGAATATCCCCTTGTCTTGTTACTTCTTCCAAGTGCATCAACTCATGTTTTTCAAGGTTAAATTCCATCTGCTACTGATCTGCCCATCTGACTAGTCCATCTATATTCTCGCGTAACTTAAAGCCTTTGTTCTCACAAGTAATTATCCAGCCAATCTTTGTATCAGCTGAAAACTTATTTATCAAAGCAACAGCTCCCCAACATTATCATCTGCATCTTTTATATATATATAGTCCTATACAGTGTTAGGAAGTAGATAGGATTTTGTTTTGCCATACATTTTCAAACTTTTCAAACTGTTATGTTTGGATGGCTTGGTTTGGTTTAGTTTATTATACAAAATAAATAAATGTAAAAAGTTCTGTTTTGTATTGTATTAAGTTTCAGTGAAAGACTGCCACATTAAATTAAGAAAATAAAAGCTCTATTAAGCCCAGATTTCAATCTGGGAGATGACTTGTTCAGTTGAAACATCAGCTGGGATCATAACAGTATTGATAACTACATCACATCAATTCATTGGTGAGGCCACTTTTAGAATACTGTGTTCAATTCTGTCTCCCTGTTATAGGATGTTTTTAAACTTGAAAGCGTTCAAAGAAGACTTACAAGAATGTTTTCTGAGTTGGACGGTTTGAGCTGTTGAGAAAGACTGAATAGGTAGGGCTTTTTGCCCTGGAGCATTGGAGGCTGAGGGGTGACATCACAGAGGTTTATAAAAATCATGAGGAGCATGGATAGGGTGGATAATCAAAGTCTCGTCCCAAGGGTAGGAGAATCAAAAACATGAGACTATAGATTTAAGGTGAGTGGGGAAAGATTTAAGGGGAAAGGTTTAAAAGGAACCTAAGGGACAACATTTTCACGCAGAGGGTGGTGCCTGTATGGAATGAGCTGCCAGAGGAAGTGGTGGAGGCTGGTACAATTACAACATTTAAAAGGCATCTGGATGGCTACATGAATAGGAAGGAGTTAGAGGGAAATGGCCAAATGCTGGCAAATGGGAGTACACCAGTTCAGGATATCTGGTCAGCGCAGACGAATTGGATCGAAGGGCCTGTTTTCATGCTGTGTAACTCTTTGACTCTAAGATCTGAAAGAGTAACTTGATTCGTTAACACCTGAATATCATAGGTTATGAAATTGAAATTGTTCTGTCTGTGGAAAAAGATTTTGAGCCTTAAGTGTGACTGGAAAAGCACAGAGACCCACAGACACAGTCCCAAGAGTGTTCCAGTTCACTGACTGTGGAATGACCAGTTACACAACCTGAAAATCACAATCAGTGCATTCACAGTGAGAAAAAGCTATCCAATACACTCATTATATTAAACGCTGCTGAATCTTGTTTTTCTGAAAGGAAAGAAAAACACGAGTGGTTTAATCTTCCCAGCGTCTGTAATCCCTCAGTTTACAAAACCGGAAAGGTGATGGTCTAGTGGTATTTGCGGTCCAATAAAAATCCAGTGACCTAAGTAAAGTCAGTCATGGGTGAAATTTGAATTCAATTAAAAAATCTATTATTAAGGGTCTAATCATGCCTGTGAAATCCATCGTCGTTTGTCGGAAAAATCCATTTCATTCACTAACACCTTTTAGGGAAGCAAACTGCTATCCTGAATAAGTCTGGCTTGCATATGACTCCCGACACAAAGCAATGTGGCTGGAGGACCGGCCGCATCGGCTCGGCCAACCAGCTCCACCCCTTCCTCCTATTGGTTAGGATCAATTAACCAAACCCTATTGTGAGGTAGAGACAACAAGGTGCAGGGCTGGATGAACACAGCAGGCCAAGCAGCATCATAGTAGCAGAGAGGCTGACGTTTCGGGCCTAGACCCTTCACCAGCATCTGCAGTTCCAACTATCTCTCACTCCTATTGTGAGGTAACTTAGGAGGTGGGGTTAGATGATCGTAAGGGAGCAGGGGAAGACTATTCGGGCCATCGGGTCTGTGCTAGCTCCTGGGGCACAGAACGCCTTTACTTGCCTTGGAACAGATATGTATTTCCTGATTACTTTTGAAAAAAGGAGACGTTTTCCGACATTCAGTGAGCCACATAATTCCACCGTGTAATGACAGCCAGACAAGCACACACAAGAATCCGGCCAGAGATTATCAGGGTGCAGGAAATGACAGATTGACGATATTTTCAATTCAAACATATGGGCATTTATGAGAGCATGGAGAGGGAAAAGGGAGCTTGGCCCTTTCGGTAACAATGAAAAGAGCGGCAGTAGCAGACATTTCGGAATTCAGAATACTCAGAAATTCCAGTGAGAAAGAGGGGAAAAACACACCGTGAGTGATTATGGGGGAAAGTTAAAGATAGTGTCAACTTGGAAGTCAGTGGCAAATCAGAAAAAAATCAATTAATAAATGAACAATAATGACTAACACATTTCTAAAATGCGGAGTCAATTTCCAAAAATTAAAAACACCTCCACACAAAATCGAGTTAAGACACTTGTTACAATTGAAGTGCGTATATATGAACAGTCTACCTCTTTTATTTAAAAGAGACGACTGAAGGAAGCAACAACAGCCTACTATAAAAATTATCATTAATAAATGTGAATAGCAGAGGATGGTTTCGATCCATCGACCTCTGGGTTATGGGCCCAGCACGCTTCCGCTGCGCCACTCTGCTACGCGTTGTTGTGTATCGCGATTTTCATATTCATTTCCTCATTGTTTCCAAAAAGTGTATACGTCCTACGAAGTTCCTGTTAGCTTTCAATTGTGTGATACCATCCGGAGTGTAGGAGCTAATTACCGCAGATGGTAGACTCTGTACTGAAAACAACACACGCCACCGATCACAGCAGGTCAAGAAGCATCTATGCAGAGAGAGTAAGTTTACGCTTCGAATCTAGATTCATCCAGCATTTGTTGTTTTCAGTAGCATCCAGAGTGGAAAGGAGATCCATGCAAAAGCAGCAAGTTACCATCGGGACACATAAAATGACAAAGGTGACTAACAAACCAACAACATACCAAGATGGAGAGAGCAATCACTTCTGTAATGGTATGTTCTCTGTTACACAGACGCCCTTCATTTTAACTATATTTCCTACCGTATAACTGTGCAAACTGCTGTGTCGCGTTCACTTCGGTGATCTCTCTGCTGTGTTTTGATTCCAACTGATGGTAATACTGGAAGAAATCCGATCCTAGAACGAAACCTGTATCATATGTTTAACTTACTTTTAGTTAGTTAACGCGGTGATTAATCACTGAAATATATTCACACATGGCCTTAAACGTTTTTAACAGAACAGAGATGTATTATCCAACGGAGGAAAAAAATGACAACGCTATGTATGTAAGACAGTCAGAAAGACCTGAATACCATCAACAAAACAAAGTCTCGACACTTTTCGCAACAGTACCTGTTACAGAGATTCAAATCCAGAGAAATTATACCTCAACTTTTAACAGCGACAAGTTTTCGATTCCTTCTTAGTTCGCTGTAATGAACCTTTCACATTTCTGAGGACCTAAGCTTTCCCGGTTCTAACAATTTGAAAACTTCTGTAGAGATTTTCCCAGCTTGAAACTGCACAGATGAGAAAACTCTTCTGCTGAGGCACTTGGTTCCCCTGAATTGAACAGGAAAAGAATTTGAGTCAATGGACATGAAGCTGGAAAAGCACAGCAGGTCAAACAGCATCCGAGGAACAGGAAAGTCAACGTTTCGGCGGAAACCGCTCCACAGGCTGTGCGGGGGAGGGGAGACCAGAAGTAGATAGAGGGAGGGGTGATGGAGTGGCGGGTAGGTAGGGTGGTGACAGGTGGTGCAGGTGGGGGCTTATTGTGATTGGTCAGTGGAAGGGTGGAACGGATTGAGGAAAATGAAGATGGACAGTTTAGGTCAATTCAGGGAGGCCAACAGGAGGGGGAGGCCTGGACATGGGATATGGCTAGGGATGGAGGGATTTTGAAGCTTACTAACCTTCCAACTGCATCCACGTATCACCATCCCACCTACCCTTCCCCCAGGCCCACCCTCCCCTCTATTCACTTTCTCAGAACTCAACAGGGGTATAAACAGGGGTCTGCCAAGCTGTCTGAAACCATTTGGCCACCAAGAACTGATGTAGTTAGGTCACTATCCACATCTCTTTGTAAACTTTTAAAAATCCTTCACAGAACTGACCAAAATTCCTCAGCTTCTATTTTAATATCCAACTTCCAAAAAATGACAAGACATCTTTCATCACATTTAGGGAAAGGCAAGCTTTATAAAGCTGGAAGACGATCTGGCAATTTACTGATCCAGTTACCTGCAATGTCAACATACTACCATTTCCCCATGCCAACATTTCTGTCTTGGGCCTACTGCAGTGATCCTACTGCAGCGCAAGCTGGAGGAACATCATCTCATCTTCCACTTGGGGATCTTGCAGGCTTCAGGATTCAGTACTGAATTCAGTCACTTTACAGTCTGAACACCTTCTTACATGTCTTTTACCTACACCGACACCGTGTCATGACATGGGTTGCTTTCAGCAAAATCAACTTTTTCTCAGCCACTCATGGTCCCCATTATCATCTGTCTATCTTTCCTTCTTCCCCGGCTTGCTATCAACATGACTTTCATCTGTTCATCTTTCTCTCTCTCTCTCTCTCTCTAAGCTCTGTTGCCCCCTCCCCAACCCACCATCAGCAAACATACGTCTTCTTCATAGCTGTTATCATTTCTGAAGGAGGATGACTGGATCTGAAACACTCATTCTGTTTTCTCTCCACAAATACTGCCAAACCTGCTGAGTTTCTCCAACAATTTCATCTTTTGTTTCAGATTTTCAGCATCCACGGTTCTTTGTTTTATTTAACTTACTTATCAAACCTCCTATATTCATGTCTAGATCATTAATGCACACGGCAAACAGGAAGGGAACCAGTACTGAACCCTATGGAGCACTACTGGACACAGGTTTCCAATCACAAAAACAATCTTTGACCATCACCTTTGACCTCCTGCCATACGTCAATTTTGAATCCAATTTGTCAAATAGTGCTGGCTCCCATGGGTTCTTATCTTCTTGACCAGTTTGCAATGTGAGGCTTCATCAAAAGCCATTCTTAAGTTCATATAAACTACATCAACTGCACTATGCTCATCCATACATCTAGTCACTGCCTCAAAAAAAACTCAGTCAAACCTGTCAGATATGATCTCCCCTAACAAAGCCATACTATCTTTAATTAATATTTGCCTCTCCAAGTGAAGATTAATTCCATTCCTCGGTGTTTTTTTTTAATATTTTTGGAATTCTGTGTTCAGTTCTGGTCTCCCTGCTGTAGGAAAGATTTTGATACACTTGAAAGGGTGTAGAAAAGATTTACAACGATGTTGCTGGGTTGGAGGGTTATATTCATTCACAGGATGAAGGCATCGCTGGCCAGGTAGCATTTACTGCCCATCCCTAATTGCCCAGAGGCAGTTAAGAGTCAACCACATTGTTGTGGGTCTAGAGTCACATCTAGGCCAGACGGATAAAGACGGCAGTTTCCTTCCCTAAAGGACAGTAGTGAAAAAGTTGGGCTTTTCCTAACAATCAACAATGGATTCATGGTCAACATTAGCCTCTTTAATTCCAGATATTAATTGAATTCAAATTCCACCATCTGCCATGGCCGGATTCGAATCTGGGTGACCAGAACATTATGATCTATAGGGAGAGGTTGAATAGGCTGGGGCTATTTTCCCTGGAGCCTCGAGGCTGAGGGGTGGCCTTATAGAGATTTATAAAATCATGAGGGGCATGGATAGGATGAATAGCCAAGGTCTTTTTCCCAGGGTAAGGGAGTCTAAAACTAAACAGCATAGATTTAAGTTGAGAGGGTAAAAATATAAAAGGGACCTGAGGAGTAACTTTTTCATGCAGAGGATGGTGTATGTATGGATTGAGCTACCAGAAGAAGTGGTGGAGGCTGGTACAATTACAACATTTAAAAGGCATCTGTAGGGGTGCATGAATAAGAAAGGTTTAGAGGGATATGGGCCAAATGCTGGCAAATGGGACTAGATTAATTTAGGATATCTGTTCGGCATGGTCAAGTTGGACTGAAGGGTATGTTTTGTTTTTGTACAATTGTATGACTATGAGTTTTCCTCCTATTCACATCACACTCAGTAGCCTATATTTTCTTTCTGAATAATGGTACCGTATTAACTGTTCTCCACTCTTTTAGCACCTCTGCTTTTCTTTTATTCACCCATGAGATGTGGGTGTCACTTGCTGGGCCAGCATTTATTGTCTATCCCCAATTGCCCAGAGAGCAGTGAAGAGTCTGGAGTCACATGTAGGCCAGATCAGGGAAGGATGACAGACTTCTTTCCCTGAAGAGCATTAGTGAACCAGATAGGCTTTTCTAATACTTAATAACAATTTCATAGTCATCGTTAGACTCTTAACTCCATATCCTTTATTGAATTCAAGTTCCATCATCTGCAATGGTGGGATTTGAACCCAGGTCCCTGGAACATTAGATAACAAGGTGTAGAACTGGATGAACAGTTTTCTGAACCATTTCTGAAGAAGGGTCAAGGCCCGAAACGTCAGCCTTCCTGCTCCTCTGATGCTGCTTGGCCTGCTGTGTTCATCCAGCTCTACACCTTGTTATCTCAGATTCTCCAGCATCTGCAGTTCCTACTATCCCTGGAACATTAGCTGAGTTTCTGGATTAATAATCTCAGGTTGATACCAGTAGGCCTCCTTTACACTCCTGTGTTCAGAGAGAATTGAACATTAATGTCATAACCCCTGCAATCCCTTACCTCTCAGGGCAACCTAGGAATCATCTTATCTGGGCCTGGGGATCTATCCAATTTTAAGCGGTAAAACCACTAGTACCTGCTTCTCAATCGTAATTCATTCAAGGATATCACAGACCCCTTCCCCGATTTCTATACCAACATTGTTTTCCTCTATTGTGAATACAGATATAAAGTACTCATTTAAAACGCCATCTTTGTCTCCCAATTCCACCTGCAGTTTGCTTACTAGACCGTTAATGGACCTGGAGAGAGAATACCTTAGGGCTCATCTGTGATTTGAATCCAGGACCTCTTACATTCTCCATACGCCTAAGATAAAATCATACCCTTAGGACAATGGACCAGCAATCTTCCGTGTCCAATAACAACGTGGGGAGGTTAGTGGCAATTTCTTGGGAACAGTCCATATCACAGTAAAGGAGGTGTTAGAAGTATTAGAATGTATGACGATGGATAAATCACCTGGTCCTGATCAGATATAACCTAGAACCCTGCAGGAGACGAGAGAAGAAATTGCGAGGGCCCTGTCTGATATATTTGCATCATGGTTAACCACAAGTGAGGTCCCAAAGACTGGAAAGTAGCAAATGTTGTGCCCTTATTCAAGAAGGGCTGCAAAGAAAAACCTGGGAATTATAGACCAGGAAGCTTAACATCTGTAGTAGGTAGGTTACTTTAGAAGATTCTGTGAGATAAGATATACATGCATTCAGAAAGACAGGGTTTGATTAGGAGTAGTTAGCATGGCTTCACGCATGGGAGATCATGCCTCACAAATTTGTTAGAGATTTTTGATGAAATGGTCAAGAAGGGTGATGAGGGCAGGACAGTAGGTATTAGTCTGCATGGATTTTAGAAAGGCCTTCTATGAACAACAAACTAAGAAGAACAGTACTAAATCAGGACTATTCACTGCTGCTTTGGAGATATAAAGCAACAATGATTTTTAATAACAGTTTCTTCCTATTCTGTCTCACTGCTCCCAAGAGGACACTGTTTGCTCCCTACCCCCACAATATTACAATTTTTCATACATTTTGTAATCAACCTGTTCAGAGATGTTATTATACACCTGTAGAGCAGGTGGAACCTAAATTGGCTCTCCATAGGGAGGGTCACTATCACAGAGCCACATTCATTACTACGGATGTTGAATGAACAGTTTGACAGTAAAGCAGCAGTGGATGAAAGGAGAGGAATGATAGTGAGGTCCAGTTAGCCATTGTTAGTGTACCTGTGAAAACTAATAGTGTTTTTGGAAGATGTCACCGAGTAGATGTTGGGATTTGACAGCAGATGCAAAGGCAAGAGGGACAATACAAGAGAAAGAGACTCATGAACAATATCAGTGAACATAGAAAAATTTGTGGTCAGCAGTTCACTGGAAACAGCATCAATGGGACAGGAGATGGATCTCATACACAAGATGAGATCTGACAGGCTAGGAAGGATACAGGACAGTAACTGGAAAAAGATCTGGGTTCAGAGCTCAGTCAAGAAAGATAAATGTGAGGTATTGCATTTTGGTAAAACAAACAAGGCAAGACATATACAATTAAAAGTAGGGCTTTGGGTAGTGTTCCAGAAGAGGGATCTAGGGGTTCACGCACATTATTCTTGAAGTTTGTATCACATATAGATAGGGTCGTTAAGAATGCATTTAGCTCGTTTACCTTCATTGCTCAGATCTTTGAATAAAGGAGTTGGGACATTACATTGAGGTTGTACAGAACATTAGTGAGGCCTCTTTTGGAGTACTGTGTCCGGTTCTGGTCTCCCTGTTATAGGAAGGATATTATTAAGCTAGTTCAGAAGATATTTAACAGGTTTGATTATAAGGAGAGGCTGGATAGGCTGAGATTTTTTTTCCACTGGAGCATAGGCAGTTGAGAGGTAACCTTATAGAGGTTTATAAAATCATGAGATGTCTAGATAAGGTGAATGGCAGGTGCCTTTTCCCCAGGTCGGAGGATTTCAAGACTAGGAGGCATATTTTTAAGGTGATAGGAAAAAAGATATAAGAAAGACATGCAGGGCAATTTTTTTGTTACACGTGTGGTTCATGTGTAGAATGAATTTCCAGAGTAAGTGGTGGATATGGGTACAGTTATAATGTTTAAAAAGACATTTGGGTAAGTATATAAGAAATGTTTGGAGAGATATGGGCCAAGTGCAGGCAGTGGAACTAGTTTAGTTTGGGATTGTGGTTGTCATGGACTGGTTGAGCCAAAGGATCTGCTTCCATGCAGTATGACTACAGCCTTATCAACACTTTCACTGGTGGGCGACTGGAAACACATGGCAGAGGCAGCTAGTCGGATTGTCTCAATTTAGTGTCAAAGAAGTTAATGAACTCCTTGCACTTGTTATTAGAGGTAAGGATGGTGAAGAGAGGGGAGATGGAGAGCCTTTCAAAAGGAACTGACGTGTTTGAGATATTGAAAATTTAACACATTGTATTTAACAAAAAGCTGATTTTATTTGTCTTTTATGCAGCATATATCAGTGTAGCTGGCCTGGTGTTTACCACCAGCAACAACAGACCCAATGAATGCGATTAACAGCAAGATCCAATCATTTTAGTTACTTGTGAACTCGCTGGTGTCTCAGCAGGTTGGATGACTGAGTAAATCTCCTCCCACATATAGCGCAGATGAACGGTCTCTCCCCAGTGTGGATTCGCTGGTGTGCAGTGAGTTGAGATGATTGCCTGAACCCAGTCCCACAGTGAGAACACCTGAAAGGTCTCTCGTCAGTGTGAACACGTTGATGATACATAAGGTCCCCAGAGCTTTTAAAGCACTTCCCACAGTTTGGGCATTTAAAAGGTCTGTTGTTAGTATGTGCACGTTGATGGGACATCAGTCCACTTGAACTTGTATAGCATTTCTCACAGTCTGAGCATTTGAAAGGTCTCTTCCCAGTGTGAACTCGCTGATGTGTCAGCAGGTTGGATGACCGAGTGAATCCCTTCCCACATTCAGAGCAAGTGAACGGTCTGTCCCCGGTGTGAGTGCGTTGGTGTACAGCAAGGTGAGATGAGTGTCTGAACCCTGTCCCACAGTGAGAGCACCTGAATGGTCTCTCGTCAGTGTGAACACGTTGGTGGCGCATCAACTCCCTAGAACTTTTATAGCTTCTCCCACAGTCCAGGCATTTAAAAGGTCTCTTGTCAGTGTGAACAAGTTGATGGGACATCAGTTCCCTCGAACTTTTAAAGCACTTCTCACAGTCTGGGCATTGAAAGGGTCTCTTGTTGGTGTGAATGTGTTGATGGCGCATCAGTTCGCTGGAACTTTTATAGCACTTCCCACAGTCTGAGCATTTAAAAGGTCTATCCTTAGTGTGAACTTGTTGGTGGGTAAGCAGGTGGGATGACTGAGTGAATCCCTTCATACATATGGCACATTTGAATGGCCTCTCCCCAGTGTGACTGCGTTGATGAATTTCCAGCTCAGACGGGTAACTGAAACTCTCCTCGCAGTACCCACACTTCCACGGTTTCTCCCCAGTGTGACTCTGCTTGTGAATGGAGCTTTTCTCTTCCATGCTTGAATATTCCAAGTTATTCAGGTTACGATAAGTTGGATGTCAGATCCTGGTGTGACATTCAGTTCGCTTTCCAAATATTGATCTTCACGTTCTCATACATATTCTGTGAAACAAACTGGAAACAGGAAAAAAAAGTGAGAGTGAACCCATGAAAACACAAATGCAATCTGTGAAATGGAATTGAGTGAATTTGATAATTTGTGGGAAAAAGTGGCCATGAAGTAATCGAATTGTTACTAAAAAAAACAACTGATTCAATAATGTATAGGGATGTAAGGTTTGGAGGAGGTTACAGAGATAGGGATGGGTGTAGGGGCTGGAGGAGATTACAGGGATAGGGAGGGGTGTAGGGGCTGGAGGAGATTATGGAGATAGGGAAGGGTGTAGGGCTGGAGGAGGTTACAGAGACAGAGAGAGGTGAGAGAGATAGGGAGGGCTTTTGAGGTGGGAAGTGAGAGATATAGGAGAAGATGTCAGGACTGCAGAAGGTGAGAGAGAAGGTTATTGAGACTGGAGTAGGTGACAGTGATAGGGACAGTTGTAGGGGCTGGAGCAAATGACAGTGTTAAGGAGCCTTGTAGTGGCTGGAGGAGGTGACCTATATGGATAGTTGGAACTGTTGAAGAGATAAGCAGGTTGTGGGGGCTGAAGGAGCCGAGAGAGTTAATGAGGGCTGTACAGTCTGCTGGTGGTGACCATTGGGGTGTGTTTGTAGGGGCTGAAGGCGATGAGATGGGGCTAGTTCCAAGGCGCTGGAGGATGTGACAGTGATAGGGAGGACTGTAGGAGCAGGAGGCAGTGACAGAGGTAGGCAGAGTTTCTAAGGGCTGGAAGAGTTTACAGAAGCGGAGTGTTGTAGGCTGAAGGCTCTGATAGTAAGTGGGAGAAGGATCACTTGCAGATAGATTTGAAAACAAGGATGAGAACTTTTGAGATCAAGGGGGTACTAAGAACAAATTGAGAATACTCTCACGGTCACATGCCCTTTGAATCAGTATGATGTATACAGCAACAGTGTCCCTTTAAATGTGGAACTGCTAACCCTAGGCAACAACTTTTAAATAGCAAAGCAAAAGAGGCAAATAAAGGTCTCTTTAAACTCACAAATGGAAAGGTGTCTGTCCCTTTATATGATTTGCATCTTGCTCGCCCCTTTCATTTGTTTTAAAAGGACAATGCAGATGCGGGATAGGGACAACAAAAAGGTACAAGGTTATCAGTGCAACAAAATTTTCAGGACCTCACCTTCCCAAACACAAGGTCAGAAGTCACACGACACCAGGTTATAGTCCAACAGGTTTGTTTGAAATCACAAGCTTTCAAAGCGCTGCGCCTTCGTCAGGTGGAGTGAAAAGAAGCGCACAGGCATATAATTTATAGGCATGTACGAACTTTTGATCTCGCTGCCTATAAATTATGTTATAGAGTCATAGAGATATACTGCACGGAAACAGACACTTCAGTCCAACTTGCCCATACCAACCAGATATCGTATATAAATCTAGTCCCATTTGCCAGCATTTGGCGCATATCCCTCTAGACCCTTCCTATTCATATACCTTTCCTGACATTTTTTAAATGTTATAACCGTATCAGCCTCCACCACTTCCTCCTGGCAACTCTTTCCATACACACACCACCCTCTGTATGAAAAAGTTGCCCCTTAGGTCCCTTTCATATCTTTCCCCTCTCATCTTAAACCTATGCCCTCTAGTTGTGGACTCCCTCACCCTGAGGAAAAGACCTTGCCTATTTACCCCATCCATGTTGCTCATGATTTTATAAACCTTGATGAAGTCACCCCTCAGCCTCTGACGGTCCAGGAAAAATAGCCCTAGCCTATTCAGCTTCTCCCTATAGCTCAAACCCTCCAACACTCACGACATCCTTGTAAATCTTTTCTGAACCCTTTCTAGTTTCACAACATCTTTCCTATAGGAGAGAGACCGGAACTGCACGTAATACTCCAAAAGTGGTCGAACTAATATCCTGTACAGCCGTAATATAACCTCCCAACCCCTATGCACTGACCAATAAAGGCAAGCATACCAAGTGCTGTCTTCACTACCCTGTCTACCTGCCACTCCACTTTCAAGGAACTATGAACCTGCACTCCAAGGTCCCTTTGTTCAGCAACATTCCCCAGGATCTTAGCATTAAGTGTATAAGTCCTGCCCTGATTTGCCTTTCCAAAATGCAGCACCTCACATATACCTAAATTAAACTCCATCTTCCATTCCTCAGCCCATCTGATCAAGATTCCATTGTACTCTGAGGTAATCTTGTTTGCTGTCCACTACACCTCCAGTTTTAGTGTCATCTGCAAACATATTAACCATACTTCTTATGTTCATGTCCAAATCATTTATATAAATGACAAAAAACAGTGGACCCAGCACCGATTCTTGTGGTACACCACTAATCATAGGCCTGCAGTCTGAAAAGCAACCCTCCACCACCACTCTGTCTTCTACCTACAAGCCAGTTCTGTCTCCAAATAGCTAGTTCTCCCTGTATTCTGCATGATCTAACCTTGCTAACCAGTCTACCAGGAGGAACCTTGTTGAGTGCATTACTGAAGTCCATACAGATCACATCCATTGGTCTGCCTTCATCAATCCTCTTCGTGACTTCTTCAAAAAACTCAATCAAGTTAGTGAGACACTATTTCCCATGCACAAAGCCACGTTGACCAACCCTTTCAGTCCTTGGCTTTCCAAATACATGTAAATCCTGTCCCTCAGGATTCCTTCCAACAACTTGCCCACTGCTGATGTCGGGCTCACCAGTCTATAGTTCCCTGGCTTTTCCTTACCACCTTTAAGTAGTGGCACAATGCTAGCCAACTTCCAGTCTTTCAGTACCTCACCCATGACTATCGATGATACAAGTACCTCAATAAAGGGCCCATCAATCTCTTCCCTCGCTTCCCACACAGTTCTAGGAAACACCTGATCAAGTCCCATGGATTTGTCTATCTTTATGCTTTTTAAGACCTTCAGCACCTCCTTCTCTCTAATATGGTCCATTTTCAAGATGTTGCTATATTTTTCACCACTCTCTCTATCTTCCATATCCTTCTCCACAGTAAACACTGATGCAAAATACTCGTTCAGAGATATTAAGAACTGCCGATGCTAGAGTCAGAGATAACACAGTGTGGAACAAAAACAAAGTTGCTGGAAAAGCTCAGCAGGTCTGGCAGCATCTGTGGAAGAGA